GTCCGATAACTCGTGGACCAGATAACAAGCCAACTTTACCAATCACTAACGACAAGGATTTCGTTCAAAACGAAGTAATTAATCATGCTGATATTTTTTGCGATTCGAACTTCCTCCAGTTGGTTATCTAGGTTTCAGTTGCTAGAAAATAGGGCTGAAACATCTACACACACATACACCTCATTCCTTACTTAAGGCCCATTCCTTCTTCAGCAGCCCGAAAAAAGTATATATTTCGGAATTTAAAAAAAAAATTCACAACACATTTCTTAAAATAAAACCGTTTTGTTGCATATTATTGTGGGTATTATTTCTTTGGTCAAATTTGAAATACAAAAATAACAAAATAATTCATCATTTGAAATCGCTATTATTTCAAATGAATCGATAATGAAAATAATGTTAAAAATAAATTATTTCAAATAATTATTTATTTTCATTTCAAATAAAATTTGCCTAGGTCTGCATGCGGCAAGTATATTCTGTTTCGCTCTTTTTGAACCAGTTTATATTCTGTCGTCACGATCGTACATCGAAATAGAAAAGAACAAAAAAAAGCGCCGAATCGCTTCAGATAATTACACCTGTATCGACAATTCGTATTTACATCGAAACAATCGAGTGTCCGGTGACTTATGATCGCCGTTTGACGCGCATCTCTTTCTTTCTCTCTCTCTATCTCTGTATGTGAGCGTGTTGTGTGTGAGTGTCTGTTTGTGTACCTCGGAACCATATAACCGGCTGGAACGAGGTCTGTATCATTGAAACGATTACAGGTCCCCCGTATTCGACCGGACATTTGATAAATTGATCCTCCTGAACCGTCCCTACTTCCCAATAAAATAGATCCGATACGATACGCCGCGCTTTTTATGCATGCTGGCATCGGTATTTCTGTGTACAGATAACAATCGGAAACGTCAAAATGTACAGATCTCAATCATAGATAGTACGAACCTAAGGGGTTACATACCTTTGAGCTGGTAAATACGAGGGAAAATTAAAAATTTTTGTTGTATATGGAAAATTATTGTGAATTAAAAATACAATATGTACATATTGAGAATAGCTGGCCCGGCTCGACCGCGAACAATTTTCCCGTGTAACATATCCCCGATCGAGCGCGTCGAAGGAACGAAGAAACCGCGCTGATAATCGGGATAATGGAAGTGTCGCGAACCTACAATTACGGCGCCGATCCGATTAATTTCGCGTCCCGTTCGCCAGAGTCCTTTGAATCGCGATCACCGGCGGGAAACAGAAAGAACCTTTCCCTTTCCAATATGCACAGTTCTCACAGTTTAAAATTAAAATCTAGCAGCTCGTACACGCTTATTTAAAAACAATATTTGATTACACGTTTTAACTTGGTAGACTGTTTAGATGATATTTTGTGTAAAAAAAATATTTATATGTTTTTACGTTGTTATGTACCAATGTTATTCATTTCTGGATGTACTAGGCTTACTAAAAACATTCAGAACATGCAAAAATTCAAATTTATAAGAAAAATATGGATCTTCAACACAATGTACCTAAGGATTTGTGTGAAATGTGACCATCAAGTCTAACATACTTCTTTGTTTTCATATAAACCGGAATTTCAATTAAACATTTTTTATTCACAATTCTTTATATGTATCAATTTTATTAAGTAAAATAAATAAAGTGAACATATTAGGGACACTGGCAGTAATTGGGACATTTACCCTAGTTGCCAGTGAGAAATTAAGGGGTCAATTTTTTTTACAGGGGTGAGCTTATTTATAGATTGTGCAGACCTACAGGTGGTGTAGAATACACGGGCGAAATATTATATCTTAATGTCAAAGGTGATTGGAGTAGTATTCATCGTAAAAGTACAAGAAGTGGCCTATTGAGGACTCGCTTCGCTCGACCAATGAGACGAAGTTTTTTTTATCGATTTTAAGGATTCTCTTCGATTGCGTCATTATTGCGCGAAAAGAATTGTTCGAATTTCTTTTTTCCTCCATCGTTTATACACGTTGTCTGACCTCCTTAATCCCAATTTTCTACGACCACCGTGGCTCCGTCCCGGTTCAAACCAATCTGGATCGAGTAAAAGGGGAAAAATGGCGACGGTGGCGGTACGTGACAGGAAACGCGCGGCGACTCCGACGACGACTTTTTATTGTAATTTATCATGACCTTTTCCTACGAAAGAGCGTGGACGTTGCTTTATTTGCTCTCTGCGGAACACACCGGGGGCATTCCAGTCCGGAAGGATCGCGGAAAATCGTTCGTGTTGCGACAGATTGCGGCCACGTTCGCGAAGGATCGTACAGTCTCTCTCTGTTTCTCTTTCGTTTCCGGCGAAGTACATTTCGCAAACCGTCGTGTAATTTGTCACGAAATAATAGGGTTCCTCACGACCCTATTTAAATATATATAGAAATATGTAAGAAAGAGATCGTAAGCACAACGATAAGTCGAGTAACGACAGAAGTGAATTAGGGGAATTCGTAGGATAGACTTCAGTTTCGTATGTAGTGTTCGGTTAAGGGGTTATATACCTTTGAGTTGTTAAATTTCAAACGTTAAATTTCAACAGTTTCGATCATTTTGTCAATCGCAGCCAATTTAGCTAAAACGATGAGGTAATGTGAAATGAAGATCCTTAAGTACTCTGAAACCGATCTTAAATCCCTGGCATGGAGAAACAATTTCTTTTGTCCCCCAGTGTAATAATAATCACATGATCATAATATGACCGAATGAAATTCTATAACGATTTTGTCCAGAAAATATTCCGCGGAACACCATATTTGGTTCGATTACGTTTCACAGGTCTCGTAGAATATATCTTAAGCGCGAATTTCGCGTCGGAGAAGCTGTTAGCCAACTAAAAATAAACGTTTCAAGATCGTGGGTCAACGATGTCGCCGATTATCGCGTTATCGGGGCGACCTTACTAAGTTCACCCGTATATCTATGCACAAATATCGCCCCTCCCCCCTTTTCAGGACTAATCAGCGCTCCACTGCGAAAAGAAACGTTATCGATCATGAAACGAGTCAATAAGATTTTTTTTATCCGGGCTCGATTCTTCCCGTATTGTGCGCCGCGAGCGCATAAATCAATCGCGCGAGCGCACACGTTTATCGACGATTCGACGACGGTTTGTCTGAACAAGCTACACCAGCGAATCGTTTCTTGTACAACAGTAAACTAATGTAATCGGAAATACGTACAAACTAATTTCGTTTTTTTGTTTACTTTCAATTTTAACGATGCGCTCTTCAATACCCGTTGAAACTGACCGATCTCCAGTGAGCTCGAGAAAATTCGAAACGATCTATAATACAGGGTGTTCACACTATTACTAGCTGGTGTTTTTCTGGCAAAATTGTAAGTAGTAGAAAGAAATGAAATAGGAAAAAGTTTTGCAGCATTCTATGATCAATGTAATTACCTTTATCAATTTTTTTAGAATTTTACACTATTACATTAGATTTTAGAGTTTTAGAATTTTACACTATTACATTAAAAACTATTAAAACATCGCGCTTCGAACTCCACGAAAGAGCAACAGGCTATTTTTCTTCTTTATGTTTATGTCGGTCCAAGACGCCTCGCCGTTAATCGTAATTGATCGTATACTCTCAAACGGTATTAAATTTAACGGGGTCGTAATTCCGTTATAGTTCAGTTACATTCCTTTTTTCGTGTACATCGAATCGTTATCTTGCATTAAAGTTTACATTAATCGAAAGTTTAGTTATCATGTACATACAATTTTCATTGATGAGAATTTTAAGGCTTGCGTTTAAAAAAAAATATCTTGAAATAGACAATTGGGAGAGTACGAATACTTCTGCGATTTATCATATTGTGAATTGAATTTGGTAACGATTCACTTGGACACGTTGCACGGAATATTTCTCGTATAAATAAAACAAAAACATAAAAGGGAGACATCAAATTCTGTTCCACACGTGGGCTACCGCTTCGTGGGTGCGTCCTCTACCTCCCCCCCCCCCGCCCCTTCTTTGTCGTCGGGGCACGTTTTTACGTGTTGCCAATTCATCAGGGCTCGTCGAGCCGCTCGTCAAGGTTTCGGGTCACGTTTCAGAATCCGTCAGCAACGCGAAACTTTCGACTTCAGCCGTTCGGACACGGGTAAAAAAGGGCGATCTAGGGATCGTCTGTGACCAGGCACGATTAATAACGAACAGGCAGGGGGGTGGGGTGGGGAGGGGACCTGGGGGGCCTGATTAATTCTCGGAACCGCGACCAACACCGTTTCAAGCTTCGTTGTCTTCGTTACGGCCCCAGATTACTACACGATTATCGGGGCTTATTATCCAGTTGTCCGGCTTATTGACGTGATTATACCTGGTTATTATTCTGTTACACATTTATTACCGGGACGGCTGACGGGCCAGCGCGACCGTTCGAAACAAATCTCGGCGATGTAAAGCGTAGGGCCCCTAATAATGACTGGAGGGGCGACAGTTGTCAAATGGCTGGTTCGTAAGGACCGGCCCTGTCTCGAGTTCATTGCAACTTTATATACGCCGCTATTGACCGGGAACACACGATTACCAAAATGGACGACAAAATACAGGGTGGACAATTCGAATCGATCACCCTCGAGTAGGGTATATGTCCCTATAACTGTCACCTCAAAAATTCATGTAATTATTATGTACTTTAACAATCTATTTTATACGGTAGATATATTTTGCACAATAAAAATAAATTCTTTCTTAAAAAACCATTCTAAATTTTCATTCCTTTTAGATATATAAGAATTGAAAAAGGCGGTTTTATAGATATACTACGCAGTGTATACCTTCAATTAAGATGTATTCGTTTGAGAAATTATACAGAAAAATACTATCGTTATCAATGGAACTGGTAAAGAAACCCACACAACCGCCCAAAATCATGAAAATTAGATTTTCTTCTATCGAATATATTCTCTTCGAAATAATGAACAAAATTTGTTTACGCGTGTAATTTTCCTATTGTTGCAGGTAAATGTACCACTGGCTGCCATGGAAGTAAGTAATCAATTCGAAGTATCTTCTCTGACGAGGCTGGTAGATTTACAGGATTGTTCGGTAATATCATTAATGCTTTTATTCTTCTTACCTTTCTCGAATACCACAGTGCACCCAAGCAAAGCGTATCAGGAAGGGCACACGTATGTATATAATCTGAACGGATTGTCGGTGACATCGGTCACTGAAGCACAAGGAGACTCGACCCTCAAATTGTCAGCGACCGTCGAATTGTCAGTGAAACCGAACTGCATTCATCAGCTACGGTTGAAGAACGTCCAGCTAAATGGAGCGGTAATCACGATTAAATTATTACGAAATTGTAGATACATATCCCGTGGACTCGTTTAGATTAATTTCCACCAAGCTTGGTAAAAATTGCATCAAATTTTCATATAGTCATACTCACGTTCGTTTCAGGCTAGATATTGTTTTCCATTCGTTCGTAAGTTCACGCCAAAATGTTTTCCCGGTTTCTTGGATCAACTAAAACGATTCGTTAAATTTATTCTTCAGCCTCCATCCACGCCGGACGTTGAACAATACGCGGTCCAGTTCAACTACCATGATGGACACATCGACACGGAAATCTGCGCCGAGCCTGACGACAGCCAAGCCTCCTTGAACATCAAGAGAGCCGTTGTCTCCATGTTCCAATCGGCTGTTATGCAAGACAACGGCGGAACGACACACCACGAGGTTGGTAACCTGGAACAGCTTGTGTTACGTGGAAAATATTATTTGAACGTGATATTGATTATCTGGGTGAATCATAAATGGACTTCCTCCGGGAAAAATTATCAAACGATACTTAAAGGGTACTTAAAGTACTTAAGTACTGAAAGTACTGTGACACGCGAATTTTTCAACTTATTTTGTAAACAATTTTGAAACCAGCAAAATGATGAATATATACACATGAAGTATAACATATTTCAATTTGAACAAAATCCCAAGCATTCCGTACAAAAGTGATCCGTTTAGCATACAATGACTCATACAGAAAAACAACTCATTCTCGATTTCATCGATTTTCATTTCAGACCGACGTGATGGGTGCCTGCCCGACGGACTTTACGTTCCGCAAAGACGGCGATATGCTGACGATACACAAGAGCAGGGACCTGGCAAGGTGCGCCTATCGCGAGAACGTGAACCAAGGACTGGTGTCGGCGAGTGCCGATGTTGCCGCGGGCTTGCAATCCGCCCCGCTTCTGGCATCGCAACAGGAGACGGAACAACGCTTCAAACGAGGTGTTCTGAACAAGGCGGTGTCCAAAGAGACCTACAAACTGATACCGTTCAGCAATGGGAACGCTGGCGCGAACACCGTGGTGGAGACCACGTTGACCTTGAAGAGCGAGAAATCCGATAATCCGACGGCCCCGGTATCCCTGCCCAAGTCCTTGATCTTCGAACCACCTCATCCGGTCGTGAAATCATCCGTGGACGCCATCAACAACGCGTTGAAGGCCGCCAAGGACGAGGTCGCCGGTGGCGTGAAACCGGAAGCAGCGAGCAAGTTCGCTGATCTCGTGAAGGTGCTCCGGCTGAGCAGCAAGAACGACATACTCTCCGTGTATCAGAAGGTCCGTGCCGGTGCTGGTTTCGACAAAGAGGACCAAAAACTCCTGCTAGACGGTCTGTTCCGGGCGGGAAGTGGCGAAGCTGCTGAGGTCGGCGTCGAACTCGTGAAAAATAAAGAAATCTCCGGCGTTGAGACTATTCTCTTCTACACAAGTCTCGCTTTGGTGCGTCACGTGAATCTACCGTCGGTGACGGCCGTGACCAGTCTTCTAGACCAGCCTAATCTACCCAGAATCGGTTATCTCGGTGTCGGTCAAGTGGTCGGGAAGTACTGCCAGCATCATTCCTGCGAGAACGTGGCCGAGGTGAAGGAGGCCGTGCACAAAATCAGAGAGAAAGTGGGCAACGGTAAGGCCAAGACCAGGCAACAGGAGAACCAGGTGATCGCCGCGTTGAAAGCGTTGGGAAACACACAATTCCTGGACGACGCCACGCTCCAGAAGCTGGCGAACATCGCGGCTGATAAGCACGTCAGGAATCGTGTACGAGTGGCCGCCATCGAGGCGTTGCCCACCAGATGCTCGATGAAGTGGAAGAACATCATGTTCAAGGTCTTGGCCGACAAAGAGGAGGACAGCGAGGTCCGTATCAAGACGTACCTGTCGTTGGTCGCATGCGCCTGTCCTCACGTCGCTAACAACGTGAAAGAGGTGCTGGACAAGGAGACCGTGAATCAGGTTGGTTCGTTCATGCAAGGCCACTTGAGGAACCTGCGAGCATCCACCGATCCTAACAAGCTCCAGGCCAAGAATCACCTAAGCCAAATCAAACCCCGCACAAAATTCCCCGAAGACTTCAGGAAATTCTCCTACAACAACGAGCTGTCATACAAACTCGACTCGCTCGGCTTGGGCTCCAGCATGGAGCAGAACATGATCTACAGCCAGAACAGCTTTGTGCCCCGTTCCGCTAATCTAAACGTGACCATGGAGCTATTCGGACGGAACTTCAACTTCCTCGACCTGAACGCACGCGCGGAGAATCTCGACAGAGTGATCGAACACTGGTTCGGACCGAAAGGCAAGGTTTGGGGACACGATCTGGAGGAGCTGAAGGAAGAAGGCGCGAGCGCTGCCGAGAGCATCGGCAATTACATCAAAGAACGATACCAAAAGTCGATTCGTGGAAAGCGCGAGGTCAAGCAAGGGGACCTGGACCGTTTCGCGAAGAACGTACACCTGAGAGACAACGAGGTCGATCAGAACCTGGATCTCGACCTATCCGTGAAATTGTTCGGCGTCGAGCTTGCCTACCTGAGCTACGAGGGCGACAGCAACAAACTGAACCCCGAAGCCATCGTGGATAAGATCTTCGACAATCTCGACAAAGGATTCGACCTAGCCAAGAACTTGAACTACGACATCGAGAATTATATCCACTTCCTGGAGGCTGAACTTGTCTACCCGACCAGTTTGGGTAGCGCGCTGACTCTCGGTTTGACCGGCACAAGCGCAGTTCGTGTCAAGACCAACGGCAAACTCGACATTCCGGCTATTCTGAAGGATCCTCAGAACGCAGCCTTCAAGATCGCCGTAGAACCCAGTGTATCCGTTAGAATCGCTGGTAACATGATCGTCCAGGGATTGGGCGCCGAATCCGGTATGAAAATCGTGACCACTCTTCACACAGCCACCAGCACCGACATGTCTGTCGCCGTTCTCGATGGCAACGGTGTCGACGTGAACTTCGGCATCGCCAAGAAGAAGCAGGAGCTGATCAATGTGAACAGCGAGGTACTCTTCAGCAGTGGGTCGAAAGGCAACGAATACGTGGCCCCGAAATTCGGCAAGGGCACAGAGTACGCTGATTGTTTCGAACAGTTCTCCACCATCCTTGGTCTGACCGTATGCGGAAAGATCTCGTTCCCCTATCAAGACATCGCAACCATTCAGCAGAAACCTTTATTCCCTCTAAGCGGACCAGCGAAATTCGCGGTGTCCCTCGAGAACAACGATGTCTCCAGTTATCATTTCAAGGTCTATCTGAACACTCAGGACCCCAAGAAACGCTCTTTCGAGATCGTGCTGGACACACCCAAGAGCAAGACCAACAGACACGTATCCCTGACCGCGGAAGTCGGCACAGAGCCGAACATGTACGCCAAAGTGTCCCTTGACTCACCGATCAAGAAAGCCTCTGTGGAGGCTGCACTGAAGAACACCGCTGAAGAACGCACACTGACGATCATCGCTCTCCACGATTCGTCGGAATACTACGGACGCGTCGGTGTTCTCGCCAGCGGAGGCAAATACAAGCCGGTTCTAGAGTACAAGGTTCCGGAACACATCGAGAAACTGGCCAGCGCGAAGACTGGACTGAAGGCAGGCCAACAGTACAACGTCCAAGGTACCGTTGACGTTTCCGACTACCAAGGTGGCCAAAAGTACGTCCTGGATAAAGTTGCTCTGGTGATCAGTGGTCAGAAACTCGTCGTCATTGACGGTACCCTAATTTGGACACCTACCAGCGTAAGTGTGGACACCAATCTCGGTTACACCGAGAAGAGTCTGGCTTTAAAACTGGACGGAAGAAAAATATCCGATCAGAACTACGCGCTCACAGTGTCCGCGATGCCATCGACGGATCCACACATCGGCTTCAAACTGAACTGGGAGTTCAAGCGAGAGAAGACCTCTATGGAGAACAAACTGGTCTTCGTTCACGGGCCCGATGAAGATTCCAAGGTGAATCGTTTAACCCTGGAACAGAGCGCTGTTTACAACTTGGACCCCAAAGACCTGGCTCTGTCCGCGTCCAACGAGCTAGAGTATCCCGCCATGAAGCTGAAGCTGAAGCTCGACGGTAAGCTCACCCGCAATTCGATGAGCGGCGACGTCGAGGTGAAATACGAGAAGTTCAAGCTCGGTGGTGAACTGTCCGGGAAGACGAACATAGAAAAACCAGGTGACTACGAGGCAGAACTGGAGGCCGAACTGATGGAGAACAGTATCAAAGTGAAGTCGAAACGCGTCATCCTGGACGCTCACAAGAGCAAGTACGTGAACTCGCTGGTGTTGTCGCCAGGTGGTAAATACGATGCCGAGGGTACAGTCACCTACGACGTGACCAAGAACAACGTTAACGTACATTTGGACGGGGACATGAATCTGAATGGGAAAAAGGTCAAGGTAGATACAGGTTTAGAAGCGAACCAACAAGCGGTGAACTCCCGTGTCTTCGTGAAAGTAGACGGTATCAAGTACATCGAATTCCTATTGAGGACCCGACGATCACCGAACCCTAGCGGCAGCCTGACCCTAAACCTGAAGAACTATCTTACCGCCGACGGCAAGTACACCTACCAGAACGGCAAAGGAAACGGAAATCTGAACATCGACGTGCCAAAGATCAACCGAAAGATCAAGGCGACCGGAAACCTAGCCGTGTCCGGATCCGAGCACACCGGTAACTTCGAGCTCCTCTACGACGCCGAAAAGGATCCCAGCAAACGGATCAAGCTGTCCACCGTTTCCGACATCACGAAGACATCGTTGAACACGAAGAACGTGCTGGAGGTGCTCGACCAGAAGCTCGAAGTGAACGCGAATGGTAAACGCGACGGTACTATCGACGAAGGTAGCCTGCAGCTGGACGCTGACGTCACGTTGCCAAACAAACGCTACTTGACGTACAAGATGAAACGGAATTCCGCGAAGAAGGACAACAAGTTCAATGTCGATGTGGATATCGAGTTGACGGACAGCGATTCGAAGGGTGGGCCAACCAGGAAACTCTCGTACGTCGATAATATGAAGGACCTCGACACGAAGGCGATGACATTCCAAAATGATGCTCAGCTGAAGCTTGTCGACACAGCTGGAAAGGACATCGTGATTGGATGCAAAGCGAAACGACTCGCGCAAGACAATAAGAAGGGGCACAGTATCAACCTTGAACTTGGCGGATCGAAGGTTCCGAAGAAATTCCAACTTCAGGTTGATTCCGATGTGGGAGAAAAGGGTGGATCGTACAACGCTAAAACATCCTGGGGCGATGACCTCATAATAACGGTATGTATCTGGTTGATAAACAATTAAAGCACTCGACACCTTACGAACCGGGTACCCTATTAAGGCCCCTTTCCCCTTTGGCAATTAGAATAGAATGGCAACACTTGAGAAATTTTTTCTGAAGAAAGTAAAGAAGATATGGTATAAAGGTTTCCTGGACTTTATTTATTATACATTTAGGTAAATAAAAGAAAAATTTGTTTCAAGATTCCTGCACTGTAGGTGGCGCTAATCGCGTTGATCCGAAATTGCACTGTATACAAACGATGTCCATCACAACGTAAAAAGATAGCCGATTTTTTAAATTCTTTTGGCATTCTTTTTGTAATTGAATCAGCTATCGCATGATCCACATTGCACGAATACTGAAACAAATTTTTGTTTATCTACTTGAATGTATAATAAATAAAGGCCAGAAAGTTTCTATATGATATCCTCTTTATATTCTCTAAAAAAATTTCTAAATATCGCCATTCTTTCGGGACTCTAAAGGGGAAGGGACCCTTAGGATGAATAGAATTCTTGATATCAGTACGATTATAACTCACTACTGTCTCTCAAACTATTTATTAATAAATCCTTGACTGTTGGATCGTTAAGTCTATAAGAAACTTATCGAATGGGTAATTGGGGGTAATCCGTTGAGCGTTCACTATCGGGTGGGTCTCTTTCGAAACCTGAAACTGGTGTCAAATCATTCTTTTCGGATTACCACCGAAAAAAAACGACTACGTCAAAGATCCCAGTCCTGTTCAGAGCGTCATGTTTATCGTATGCTTGTAGAGCTCGGGAACAGCCGAATCTGGAGACAACGTTGACAAGCCGTGCAAGTTGAACGGGGCATTGGAGATGAAGCTGCCGAGCGAAAAGCTCAGCAACCTGAAACTCGAGATCACGCAGGATCTGCTGGAACCGTCACAGGAGAGCAGTCGCCTGCATTGGTTGAACGCTATGAAACTAACGTACAACAACGACAAAACGATCAAGACCGAGTCGTACTTGAATGTGCAGGGACTGAAGTTGCCCGAGGAGGCGAGCGAGGGAAAGGGAAAGCTAACCCTGACCATTCTTCAATTGCCGCCGTTGAATGTGGATACAAGCTACAAATACAAGCCAACCGACGAGAAAAAGACAGCCGTAATGGATCTGAACGTTGACTACGGTGAGAAGAAATTCTCGTTGAAGTCCGACAACGAGTACCTGCCGGACTTGGCCAGCGTCAAAGCGAACCTCAAGTCTGTACTGCCTATTGAGAAGTTCCGCAATGTCGACATGCAGATGAACTACAAGGTACTTTCGTTGAAATTGCTCGCATAAGACAACAGATTCGACGATTCGGTGGCGTAGGACAGATAAAAAAAAAATAAAAAAATAAAGACATCCATTTCATATAACCTAAATCAAATGAATTTTTCCAAATGTTTTGCAACAGGCTGCAAGAGCCTGTGGATTAGAGCAAGAATTATTCGAAGATTTTGATCTTTTCAGAGATTCAAGATCGATAATAAGATGCTCGTGGATGTGGTCCTTATGGCCGATGGCGTTAAATATACCCTAAACAGCGAGATGCAGCAGCAAGACACGAACTCTTTGTTCAACGTGGTGGCCACTTGCCCCGACGGCAAAACGGAAATTCTCTCCAAGATCCAGAAACTCGGGCCGAAAGAATACAAAGGTAATGTCGGAAGGGTGCAGATAGAATAAAGGAGATATATGGAATAGAGTGAATCACAGAAATATTTGTCTTACACCACCCTATGCATCGTTGATTTCGAATGACTAATATACTTTATTTAGACCACTTATAAACGACGAATTACGAAGAGATTATATTTTTTTTTTTCGAATTCGATTCTCGAAGGGCAATTTAATAGTATTCGATGATTTTCGCCCGAATCAGTTCGCTAGAAATGAATCGGATTGATCTCGTTTCGCAGGTGAATGGAAGGTCGACACCCCTAAAGGATTTGTTGTCTCGGACGTTCACGTTGATCTAGAGAGCATCGACGATTTCGTGATCGACGCGAACTTCGACAGCGACAAGATCAAGCACCGCAAGATCCACGCCGAGATTGCCAACAAACCGACCGCGAAAACCGGAAAGAGAATCATCATCACCGTCACCAGCGACGGCAAAAATATTGTGACTGGAAGGTATGACTACACGTCATTTAGATCAAATTACTGGGAGTAACGTTCAGAAACACGCACGTGTCAACGTTAGTTTTCCTATTTTTTCGACTGACCGTCGAACAGAGACTTGTACAGCGAGGGTAAAAGTATATCGGTACGGATACAATTTGGACGTAAATAAGAAAAATATTACCTAGAGAAAAATATTATTTAAAAATACCAATATTATTAATAGGTGAATATAATATTGAACATTTACCCTGTTTCAAGATTTAGTGCTGTTTCGTTGCAAGTACCGTAAATCATCGATGAGTGTTCGGAAGCTCCTCGGCACTGGGTGTTCAGACGCCATCCCCACCACTAGTATATCCTAGTATATCCTATCCCCACAGTGGGGATGTCGTCTGACCACTCAGTGCCGAGAAGCCTTCGAACACTTATCCATGATTTGCTGTAGTTTTGCTTTCTTTTGTTTATGATTGGGCCACGCCACGCATTAATGGTATCACATGCAGGGAAATATCATTGAACACTCATAGCTGAGGGTGCGCTTTCGACTCGCCGAAGAGACAGGTTTCGGTGGGTTTAAAGCGGGCCCGAATTATTGCAGCTTATCCACGAGTAAACGTATATTCAACCGTTCCGAATGTATTTGGGGACTAAGATTGCACTGTCTATCCAGCACGAGCTACAAGAAACGCGACGAGGACGGAAAGATCGTGGTCGAGGGGAACGGGAGCCTGAAAGTCGGCGACAACACCAGAAGCTCGTCGTTCAAGTACACACGTCAACAGCTAACCCACGAGAAGGATGGTGAGGTCGGCGTCGCGATGGTTCTGAACGCGAACTTTGGACCCTCCGCGGTCGTCGGCGAGCTTAAGCTCTCGAACAAGGAGGTTCACGTGTTCAACAGCTACTGCGAGCAGAGCAAGGACTGCGCTCACTTCAAGCTCCAGTCGATGCTCGACGTTGAACGTAAGTAGAAGAAAAAATAGAGAACGTGGCGAACACGTATGCACAGCCTGTTTCACAAGAGCGTTGGAATGATATCTGGAAAAATAATTTATATGACTCAAAAATTCCAAAACAAGCTTTTAGTATATCTAAAATAGTACTAGAACCCTATTATGGGTCTTCTGGTCAGATCTACGCTACCGTCCGTGATAGTGTCCGGAACATACAATTCTTTTTACTTCTCCATTATTTCCACTCGAATTAAAGGACACAATTATTAATTACATTTGTGGAATCATCAGATAAACCAACGCTGAAGCACCAATTGACGGTGGAGGTCGACCTGAAGAAGTTCAACGTACCGGCCGAGTTTGGATTGAAGACCAGCACCGAACTCAAAGCCCCCGTCTACGATCACACCACGAACCTCTACCTGCACTCGACGAAAGACAAGTCCGAGTACACGTACCGAATTTACGTTCATCCTAAGGAATCAGGTGAATCTAACGCAGACAATCGTCATAAAATGAATAAATACTGTTCGATTACACTCGAGTTCGGACTTATTTTCACCAGGAGAATCTCCTCAATTTGTCCATGACACTTTCATGAAAGTATACTAAAAAATGGAAAAGTTACAATTTTCAATTTATGTGTGATTTCTCATTTGCTTACATTCTATGTCGATGAATGAACGAATAACGAATAAACGATTAAGGAATTCTAGTCGAATAACGAATAAAATTTTATTCGTATTCGTTATACGAATCAAAATTTATTCGAATAACGTCCAACACTGCTCCGGGCTACTTTTCGTTCCCGGAATCATCCGAAAATGTCTATGATTCTCGGCCGTAGCTACCGTTCTCACCCTGCCGTCCCGCGAAATGGCTGTTGTGCTGACTTACGATCTGCCGAAAACGAAGCACACCGGGGCGTACAAACTGGACCTGTCGCTTTACCTCGACAGAAAGAACAAACCGTCCGACAAGACCAGCCTCAGTGCCACCGGGGACATAAACATCGAGAAGAACGCTCTGTCCCTTAACGGAGAGACGAAATTCACGTACCCAACACAACCGAAGGTAAGCTGTTTCGAATGTTCGTCAGTTCTATAAGCTTTCGTTAACGTATGTTCGAAATATTAGTCGGAAGAAAATCAGTAGATTTTCGGTTTTTATTTAAAACTGTGAATGGTTGCTTGCCTAGAATTACAACTCATCATCTGTTTCATGTTCAATATCAGAAAGGCTGTTTAGTCTCATACATCCTCCTTCAAGACAGCACACATTCTAAAAACCTTATCATATATTCTCCGAAGGCAAAACGACGCCAGGCTCGTATGCTGTCGAGCCTTGAAAGCCTCAAATCCCAACTGTATCTATGTTCTCCTTTGTCCAATCCGATCGTACTCCCGAGTCATTGAATCCTCGATTAACGCCTTCGATGTTCAACGCCTCAGCCTCATTTCGTCTTTCTCTTAAAGGATATGTCGGTGAAAGGAAGAGTTCACTACGGCGGCGAACAGCTGTTGGACGCGAATCTGGACATCGACGTGTTCGCGAAGAAGTCACAGAAAATTTCGATCGTGGCTAATCTGAAGAGACAGGGTGTCCCTGACGGGAACAACGTGACTGGCTTGGTCGAGGTGAACAGCCGTGGCCAGCAGCTGAAGCTCGACCTGAAAACGTCGTTGGCGCTCACCAAGAACGAGATCGGGCTCGGTGGCTTCTTCACGTACAACGACGTGAACCAGAAACCGAAAACGATGGGCGTGCTTTTCTCCGCGGACGTGAACCATATCGATCTGCTGGTCACGCTGCCCGACAAGGTGTTGATCAAGGACGAATGGAAGATGCAGATCTCGAAGAACACACAAAAGATCGACCGGGAGCTGACATTGTTAGACGAGCCAACAAACGTGATGAACTTCGAGGGCAACGATCTGAATCGCTTCAAGCTCGTCACCTACCGGAAAGGTAAGGCTGTGCGAAAAATATCGGGAAAATCCTTGTAATCGATACTCCGTGCGAATAAAAGGTGTCGGAACGATGAATATTGGTGAACGGTGTTCGCAGATAAACCAAACAACAAGCTGAGCGTTAACGGGCAGATCGTGCTCGGACAGTTGGCCGAAATCCACGCGAACGGATACAAAGACGGAGCCAAGAAGAAACTGTTCCACGTCCTGGTCCATCTCGACGAGAAGCAATTCCTGAAACCAGATATCAGTTATGAGAAAGAAAACGTGGCTGATGTTTTTGTAAGTAGGACATACATCCTAACTCTGAAAAGGGATAAAATGTGTTTCTATGTATATCTCAATAATTCTTAATTCAGATATGATGTTTCAATGCTTTTTGCTTCGAAATGATACTTTTCAAATGCTTGAAAATTAATTTCTAGTTTTTTTGAAGTTACATCTCCAGGGGGCGAAAAGTGGACCAAATAAACGGGAATAAACTTAATAATATAATATATATATCGATTTTTCTTATTTTCTCTTTTACAATTCAATTAAAAAATGATTTTGCCAAACTAAGATAATCACAGTTATTAAAATTAAAACCGATAGCAATAATTCTACAAGAGCTATTGATCACAGATATCTCGAATCTTTCAGAACGTCGTTAAGAACAGACAAATTGAACTTGCAAAGAAACTGAAGGAAGTCCAAGATTACGTTGTGGAGCAAACGAAAGCGGAGGTTGGCGATCTTTTGGATCATTTGAAGAAGGCGCAGCCGAACATCAAACCACTTTTGGACTATTATCAGACGGAACTGCACAAACTTAAGGAAGAGCTCAACGCCGATGAGACTATTAAAAAGATCACAACAATTCTGTGAGTAAATGACACTTGCACTATATCAGGGAACAACTGTTGGAACAACAAAGGGAAGTATTAGATAACACGAATAAAAAACACCGACTGGTTTTGCTTAAAGGAACAAATATTTCGGCGCCGTTGTCCTCGCCGTTACGAATACTATGAAGGAGGTCGCGGAGGGTGTACAGAAGCTGCAGAAACAGTTGAACCAATTGCTGACCGACTTGAAAGAGGTGATCAACTCGGTTTATCCGAAGCTGAAGGAGTCCTACGAGAAAATATTGCACGAGTGCCTGGAGATCCTAAATGCGGCCGCGAAACTTGGTGTCGAGCAGTTGAAACGCGAGATCGAGGAGTTCGGTGCGCTGTTGATCAATCAGCTGAAGGCTCTTCCGGTCTACGAGTACCTGAAAGAGAGATACCAGGGACTGACGGACTTTGAGACACCGGCATTCATCGTGACCTCCGTCTCAGAGGTCTGCAATTTACTGAAAAACTCTCTGCCCACCCAGGAGCTACGACAGTTCGTCGAGGTCACCTGCCAGTACATTACCAAACACATCACCCACGAGAAGGTACGTTCGAGCCTCGGTATTGTGCTTCGCCACTACAGTAAATCCTCGATGAGTGTTCGAAGACTCCTCGGCACTGAACATTAAATATTTCACAAACTAATGGCCATATGCGGCTGAAACAAATATCATTGGCTTCAGAATTCCAAGCTCTAGGCCGGATCGGAGCTATAGCTTCCATTAAAAAGATGCGATGAAAAAACATTTTCTATTATTAAATGTTTCTTAGAATACTAATGACATATTGACACTGAAAACATAAGAAAAGAAAAATTCATTTCTCCAGGCCATGAGTTTGGAAAAACAATCCGTTCGGAATGTGATAATAGTAGCTATCGAAAAAACATGGAAATGTTACAGACCCCCTTGATTCAAGTGTTTCGATTTTAATGTCGACAAGGTGGTAGGTCATCTTCGGAACGATGATCGGATCCATTGATCATCATCACGTTTATTTGGGTTTCCAGGTGGACGAGTCAGTCGAGCTGAAGAACATCTACACGCACGCCGTGTCCGCGTTCCAATCCGTCCTCGGCCTGCTCCAGAAACAGGTGACGCTCGACAACGTATTGGGCTTCGTCCAGATCCAGTCGCCCATTGATTTCAGCCTTTTGTCCAAGCTCCCAGGCATCTCAGTGCTCCGTGTTTCTGTCTTGAATCTGTTGCGCAACAGAGAGCTGCCGACGCCTTTGGACCTCTACTACACCTACAGGTAAAACCGTTCGCGAGCGCGCGTCCCCGGTAAATTGGGAGGAGAGCTTCCCTTTGTCCGGACCCTATCTAGCCATGACGAAGCCAGGACCAATTTCCCGTCCCTCGTCTGCTATTAATTATTAACGCCGCACAAAGCCGGTTAAATTCGAGTGACAGACGCAAATTGTGTTATACAAACGAATACATTATCCCACGTAGTTTTGAAAGATGATAACGGGATGGTTAAGGAGAGCTTACAATTCGTATTTTTGTACGCACAAGGTGAATCGATAACTGATTGTTGTTTAGATATAACTCGTCATTCTATTAACCGTTGGAATAGACATGGTGTCCTTCGTGATAATAGCGAACAGCTTGTTCTCTAGTCGATAGTTGGAGTATTTTCGACGACAGTTTCGAAGCGTAACGGGGACGAGCGTGAGAAACTTCGAGAGGTTGGGTCTCGTCTCCCCGCAAGCCCAGTTATCGAGTAGAAATGATCTACTGTTAAATATTCAGGAAGTTTCTCGGAATTTCCGGTAGTCTTCGTGCTGGCAGTACGAAACGGTGAACTTTCAAGGGGTAGGTTTCACCCCTAGAGGTTGAGTTATCACGGTCGAGTTATCAAACAGAAATGATCTGGTTCTAAATGTTCAAGGGAACTTCCTTGAATTTCTGATAGTCTTCGAGTTCGTACGGAAAGTGAAACTTCGGGGAGGGGGGTCTCGCCTCCTGAAATTAATTTATCACGGCTAGCTTATCGAATAGGAACGATCTAATTCGAAACGCTGGGAAAGGGTACACGGACATTTGATTATCTCCAGAATATACCCTTAACCCTACGATGCATGAATCTGGCGTTCGTCAGATTTACGTATCGTGGCTGCAAAAGACCCACAGCAGCTTACACGAAGTCTGTGTTTAATATCTTGAATATGACGTAAAACATTTTAAAAAAATGAAAAAAATGTCGGTCGATCACGTTTCAGACCAACCCGTTACCCAACCGACATCATTCCGCCGTTCCGCAAGTCCGGGGTCGTCGCCGACGGAGGACACTTCTTCACGTTCGACGGACGTCATCTGACGATGTCTGGCACCTGCACATATATACTCGCGCAGGACATGCAAGACGGCAACTTCTCGGTCGTGGCTAACTTCAACAATGGCGTTCTGATCAGCATCACCCTCACCGAGCCTAAAGAAAGCATCACCCTCAAGAACAATGGAAACGTGAGTACATACTGTCCTTTGTTCCCAATCACTTTCACGTGTACGTATCAGCAAAAAGGACGAAACGCTCTTACCAAGCTCTAATGAGTCATTTTTACACGACCACTGACCCCAGTATTATTTTAAGTACACAACAAACACCTTATCTCAATTAGATATTATCAAAATCTAACTCTATTCATGTGCCATTCCAAATTTGTAAAGCCTCGAAGACGAAAATAATAACCAGTACTTAAAAAAAGAAAAGGACGAAATGTCCTTATTAAGCGCTAATGATTAATGTTGACTTGACCTTGAATGCCCACAACGAATATGGACGTCGGAGGGTGATCGACGCAACACGTCCACGTAATCTCGTCTCTACGATTCCAGATCCTGGTGAACAACAAACCGGCTGATTTCCCGACAAGCACGAAGAACCTGCACGCTTACCTGGTACCACCATTCGCCAATGTCAAGTCCGCTTACGGTGCTCGCGTCAGCTGCACGAGCTCGACGCCCATGGTCTGCGCCGTCCATGTTTCCGGGTTCTACCTGGGCAAGCTGCGTGGTCTCCTCGGAGACGGCAACAATGAGCCGTACGACGACTTCACCTTGCCATCTGGAAAGGTATTATGGCCATGAGTAACGACAGACTCTGAAGTAGGGCTGTTACGAATGTTCGAATACTCGAATATTCTAATAGCAATAGAATTCGAATTTGATATTCGATGTATTCAGAGTACTCGACATATTCGAATATTTGAAGTGATTGAATTTTGGATTGTACTGAATTGGAATCTGAACATAATATATTTTTTCACACTTTAACGTGAAATTCTCTTCACATTGGCTTTTACAACTTTCTGTTTTTCAAATTCCTATTCGGTACAATCCAAAATTGGATCATTTCTATTATTCGAACATTCAAGTAATACGAATACTTCATACTATTCGAATCTCTGTACTATTCAACTTATTCGAAGTATTCGAATAGTTTGAATAAATTAAGATTTTAAAAAAATTAAGATTTTTCAAATTCAAATAAATGAATTTTATTCGGTTTTGATTTATCTTTCGATTGTCGCATTCGTCTCAATGTATATATAGCGTATAAAGAGCTCGCTAAACTTACTTACACATAAAAAATAGGACAAGGTTGTTGGAATAACCAAACTAGAAAAATATATCGATCTTATTCCAACGAGTTGTTTAACGTTTCTTAGATCACCGAGAGCAGCAGCGAATTTGGCAACGCGTACAAACTGAAAGGCGACTGTCCAGCCGCGACCGCTGTCGAACACGAAGCACGCGCTCAGGTCTGCACGGACTACTTCGTCAGCCAAAAGTCTACTCTGAAGTAAGCGAAACTATTCAGATGAATTATTTATAAATAGAAACTGATCAAATGATGATTTGAGTCATCTTGAGAGTAACATAAAGAAATATTTAATATTCTTCTAATACATACGGTATAGGTGAGAGATAAAACTCGACGAAGCTCTCTGTAATCGTTGGATCAAAAGAACGCATGGTAGCAGTGTCTTTTTTAGGGTAATGGGGAGCATTTTGCTAAAACTTTTAACAAAAATTCTCTCTCCTCGAAACTACGGTACAGAGGATGGATGGAGGATGGAGAAGGTTGTAAGGTTCATATACCTAATGGTTAATAAAACGTGATTACAGGTCCTGCTTCAGCCGTGTCAACCCAGCCCAATATCGCGACGCCTGCGACCACGCGGTCGCCGCTAAGACGCCCGAAGGAGCTTGCGTGATCGCCACGGCTTACCACTATTCTTGTTACGAGGCTGGCATAATGAGCACCAACATACCTCCATCTTGCAGTAAGTGTCCACCACGCTCTTGAAACTCCAACTGATTCCAGCGAAACCGAGAAAGTGACACGGTGATCACCGAACATATGTAAAACTGAAATGTGTATGAAAGATTTAAAATACTTAACAATTAGAGAGAAAAAAATTATCAATTAAAAAACGTGACAGCCATTCCCGTTCTCCCCTACTAATGTTCTATGTATGCACTTGTAACACCGTGAACCTTTAACAAATTCCAGCGAACTGCAAAGTCGGCCCGTCGACAGTCGAGATCGGCGACACTTTCAGCGTGAAGACTCCCAAGAAAGAGGCCGACATTGTGATCGTGGTTGAGCAACAAACACCGAACGAGAAGGTCTTCAAGGATATGGTCACGCCATTGATTTCAGAGCTCCGAGAAGAACTGAAACACCAAGGAATAACGTGAGTGTACCTTTCGCTTGATCCGATCCGAAAGAAGATTAAACACGCGAACAACCGTGTCCTATTAAGGTGGTGGGAAAAGCCTGCCCCCACAGCACCAGATTCCTATAAATAAATGATGATCTTGCGTTTTCTATTTGCCCTCGAATCATCCCTGACAACATGAAAAATATATTTTTTTGTTCCCCAGTGTAATATTAAACTTCGTAAACTTTAAACTCCGTTTTCTCAGTTTAGAAATTAATGGATATAGAACAATTAAGAACTAGAGAGACGAAGTGTATCCATTGATAATGAAGGAAACATGATCCCACAGCGCTGAGTCCTTTAAATAAATGATCACCTTGTACTTTCATTTGTATTCTTAACGACAGGGATGTGCACATCGGTCTGATTGGATTCGGCGAGAAAATGAAATGGCCCCAGCACTACACACTGAACGGGGACACCAACATAGACGGCGAAGTGAAGAACATGAAGTTCTTCGAGAGGACAGCACCCGTCTCCCTCAAGGTAACTTTGTTTTCATGGTTTAATGCTTCCTTCACAATAAATTTCTAAAAATTCGTTAATTTTCAGCAGTTTACATCAGGTTCCCCCTTAACTTACCAGAACCAGTCGCCGGGTGTTTTTGTGTGTGTGCTTTTTCCATCGTCGTCATGATTCATAGAGAACAATTTATTTCAGGAGGTAAAAGAAGGAAAGACGGACAAAAAGATGTCATTCGTGCGCGCTTTCTTGCCGCTTCTGTTCCTCCGGCAACGATTGGACGTTGAATTGGGCAACATGAAACTAACCGACGCCTACGAGGAGGCGATTCGCTATCCATTCCGAGCAAGCGCTGCCAAGGCCGTGATCGGTGTTCACTCGAGCATTTGCGAGAAGAGCCTGCTTCCATTCTCTGTAAGCACGATATTGTACCCTTTTTATGTTTTATTTCTTTCGAAAATTAACCCTTGCATCACGGTAAGTAGGTGCACCTAATTTAAAGGGATACAGGACTGTTGAAGCTTCAGAAAATGTTTTTTTTTATTATTGATTCTAAAAGCCTCATCATTTGTAAATATTTACGAAAAAGTTTCATGAGGAAATTCGATTTATTACGGAGGTTGTAGCACTGAATGTAACTGAATGGACAGTCGAGTAACAGATTCGCGAAACGGTAGAAGCTATTTATCTCGAAACAGACATTTTCAGTCTGGGCGTAACTTAACACCTAGGGCCAATTGATCAGCTTTCTGATTCTCGATATTCACTTCAACGATTTCGTAACGCAACAATGAAATTCATGTTCACGGTTGCAGCTGCAGCAAATCAGGCTCCTGTTGGGACAGAAGACTTATCGAGATCTCGGCCTCACCTATTACCACGTGTCCCACCCCAACCAGCTCCTTGTGTCGGGCACGCCCCAAAAGAATATCGTCGGCTACGACCAAGATAGCGCGTACACGTTCGCTGACAGCAAAAAGAAGCCACTCACCGGTAGCACCGACATCAAGAGCAACCTCGCACCCGCGACCACCGACGTCTGCGCTGACTTCGCGGTTTCCGTAAGTGTTTTCAACAAGTGACCCCTTCGTCTGATCATTCATACGCTCGAACCACCACCAAACAAGCCCGTCGAGACTAGAACTGTAAGCATTCGGATATTCAAATATACGAGTATTCGAATAATTTCGAATACGAATGATTTATTCGAAGAATTCGAATATTTTGAATATTCATAGCAGTCCTAGTCGAGACGACCGATTGCGAATTTTTCTTATTTTACAATTACTGAACTTGTATTAGTTTTTTCGATGGAACTTACGTTCGGCTTTTAATTCACGATACTGTGTCGCAATAACGAGATTACTCAAAAATCACGATTTTAGGGAAAACTAGTTTAAATGTTTTTTAAAAGACATATTACTACGTCATCCGTCATCAAAGTGTTAATATATACCGTTGAAGTATCAAAGAGACATTGTTTCTGTACAGTACTTGTTTAGTTTAGTATCGCTTCAAGGAGTATCGGTATCCAAAATTGATACCAAGTGCCTCACATTTCATATACCTTTCGATACTTGGGTATCATCAATATATGTCTGACTGATCGTTACCCGAACTTGTTACAGTCTGGCGGAGCGACGTTCAGCTCGGACAACTTCTTGGACGCTAAACCGAATCAGAAGAAGCAGTTCATCCAAGTGGTGGCCAAGAGGGTCGCCGACGGCCTGGTTAATTTAGAGCTGGAGAAAGATTGCCTGTGCGAGTACCAGTACGGAATGTTCGGGCGTTCGCAGTGCAAAATCGTCGGCCGTAAAGAAAAGGAACCTCTCGCGGTAAGGATCACTTCCGTTGACTTGTTTCTCTTTAAAAAAAAAAGTCTCATAAACTAATGGCCAAATGTGGCTGAAGCAAGTATCATTGGCTTCGGAATTCCAAGCTCTATCATTATGCTAAACTTCATTAAAAAGCCAATGTACCTGGGGACCTCTCCTTATCAGTGACGAGGAGCCCTCGAACACTCATCGAGCATTTACTGTACATACTATCGTCTTTTATTTAATGGGCCGATTGCCCATTGACGACCATCTTTTTCCCGTTTCAGAAACACACTAAGGCCGGAGTGAAGGGTTAAGGCTTATTTTTAAGTCCATCGCGGCCCAGCTGTCGCTACTAAAATTAATTTTAGCTGTACTGTATTTTGTTACTTCGTTTATAATTACGTCAGGCGTCGTTTTTTTTTTTTTTTTTTTTAAATACTTCTAAGCGGCCAGATCCTTCGAGCCCCCCAGCGTCTGGGGGAGGGGGGCTCGTTCTCTGTCACCCATCCAGAGGACGCACGAGGGAACAAAAACCTTCGAATCTCTTCGTATAAAACGTGCAACGCGAATCGTGGCGAGTCCTACCACCCCCCTCCCCTCCTCGTCGCGTTCTCTCCGTCGATTATCGAACGCGGCCAGGTGAACTCGACGCGGTTTAGATTATTAAGTTGTTTTACTACCACCCACCATCCACCTACCCCCGTCATGAGCCGGTATTAATTAAATTGTTCGATCCGTGATAATAAATATCCATACGGGAGAGACCAACGAGAGCCAGCACAGCCTGTACACGCGTAATACCGGGGACACGTCCGTCGATTCGATTCACACGATGATTTGTACGGCTTTACTATTATTAAATTAGTATACCGATGCTGGCATACACTCGGACACGACTAACAGCAGCTAATCTGAATTCAATACCGACCCCGCAACCCTTTGCCCAACCCTCGTAACGTTTTATCGTCGCACATCGCGATCACACGCGCCTCTGTACGCTATGGTTTTGAGAAGGAAATATACGTACATTGTTCATACATGAGGATCAAAATTGTTTCTTTGCTTTCACACACCAGTCCACCTCCCACTGTCCCCCATTACCGATCTGAATGAGATCGCGGTTTTTCCCCACCTGAACGGTGGAAATTCTACTCGTGGTAGGGGCGGCTAGGGACAAACGTAACTGTTTGTCTTTCTGAGGCTGTAACTGTTAAATTCGATAGGATTTTTAAAAAGTTCGTACACGATGAGAAACCTTAATTAACTTCTTTAAAATGACTCATTAAGTTACTTGTGTCCTTACACCTACAGATTATTGTAACACTGTATTTAGTTTGAAGAAAAAAAACAATTAATAGAAAAGATACTTTAAATGATATTTTATTTATTCTATTAAATAATAACCAAGAGATAGCCAGGCGACTTTCTTGGTTACGTACTCCAGTGACCTGTTAAGCGATCGCACACGGTCACAAGTCGCCAAACGTGTTTTCCGCTATTGAAAAGTGGTCGTCGTTAGCGGAATCGTGTTGTACACTTGGAAAAATCTCAGCTATTCGTATCACTCGCCCCCACCCCACAGTCAATACTACCCAAATCCATGAGCGTTTTAGGACCGATCAGTTCAGATTTTGCTCTGTGACAGTGCTCCCAACGTGTGTGTTTATAAAAAGAAAGATTCTATTACATGAACACGTGTGTTTGGGCGAAACCGAGGAACATAGGTGAGTAAGTGAATACACTTCCAGTTACTTTATACCAGGGATGGGAAAATTCATTATCCAGAGTTTCGAATAAGGGTCATTCCACGTGAAATCGAACACTTTTTGGTGTAACATTTCGGATTTTGTTGACACTTGGATATGTTTTAGTGTTCCGTGATATATAAATGTATCTTGAAGGATTTTTGGAGATTTAAAACATTGGTGATTCTGCAGCTGTTTGAAATACAGTGTCAAGCTTTTTTCAATAAATCATAATTGTGAACTAAGAAACTGATCGAAATAAGCTTCGTGGGTGCTTATAGTAGAGGCATTACGTTGTTTTGCCTAATACGTATGAATTAAGTACTGTACTTCGTTTAAATTGCGTTATTTTTTCGAACATATAAAATTGTGTTTTCGTGCATTTTTCCTGATAAATATATAAACCCTATATCATACAGTTCAATTAATGTATAAACTAAGACAAGACACTCGGCGTTTTTCCTTACAACCACAGACATACTTAGTGTGCATTCTAGTCCTAAAACATTTCCGTTGTTGCTGTTTCACGTGTCATTTTGGGAAATTTTAATAGAGAATTTGTGCATTATCAATCAGCCCTAGGACGACCAGAACAGAATCTCAGGGATGAATATTTATGAGAACCCAGAGGTCGAGAAAGCGTGATTGTTCGCGGTTTCAGGGGAAATTCACCCAGCGAAACGACATGTCGTTTATCATTGATTGTTATCTGCTAAACGCAATCGTCCCCCTTTTCTACCGAGAAGTATACAATTACCGTCACGCCTTTAATGCAGAATACTTTGTCCCCTGGAGTGCCCCCTACCTCCCAGGTGCTTTTTCTTTCCCCAAGAAAGTAAAAACTCTCTCTCTGTCTCTCTCTTACCACCTCGATTTCCTTCGTTCTTGACATAATTCAGGGGCTTAGTGGAAAATGGACACATACCAGAAAACTAAGTTTGCACAACTACTTTTAGGAAAACTAATTTTCTCAGGAAATTCGATATTACACCGCGGCTATTTTAATTGGTAATTGAAGTAGATGGTAAATGGGAATTACTGTCAAATTTTGACTCGAAAATTCATATTATGTAACACCTTTTTTTAACAATCTAACAAAAAGATTATGGCTATTCGGACAAACTATTTTTTATAGAAATTATGATTATGCTTTTTTTATTCTATGAAGCAAATAATGCAGAAATAAGAAGTAAGAAGCATTCTCGTTAATGGTGCGAAAAACTAAAAATCGACGTAGATGTGCTCCTTTTCCACTGAACCCTTCTCAATTATTAACGATTCCTCGATCGTAAGGCGGGATCGACCATTAATTTTTTAGCCGCGTTCAGTCACGTGACACCGAAGCGCGGGGGTTTTTCTTTTCTCGAAACATCCCTCCTCTGCCCTCCGTATCGCGATGGTGACGTTAATGCTCACGAGTATAACGTCGCGTCGCGGTCACGTCAGTGAAATTTGCATGCACACACCGTTCACGGTTGCCACACCACGTTGGTGGTGTTGTACTAGGTATCTGTGTTTGAAATCGAAATTTCTTGCCACGTTAATGAGGGAGGTTCATCAGATAACCGGAGGCCGCCCAAGAGTATTTTTAAAATGTTTACGTTAATTATCTGTAAATTGCTCTCTGGGCGACGCACGGAGGCGCCGGAATGTTTTCCGACGAGGTCAAGGGGCTACACACAGTAAGGTGGGTAAAAAAAAATCGATTTTTAAAAATTATTTGAATTCGACAGTAGTATTGTTTCGTCTACCTTCAGAATAATTAGGATTAGTATTGTTTCATCTACTTTAAGAATAATTGTTTCTTTTTTGTTTCTAATAAAAGACCACGAAAATATCATGGAAACAGCTACTATGACGTTTCTTTTTCGAATGTTATGATGAAAATTTCACATTATATAAACAAAAGTGTGCCATTTCCAATGTAGTTAATGTTTTTTTTATAAATGTTTCCCTGAAAAAGAATTCTTGAAATCTATCCTACTTTTTTCCCTCATAGATGTATGATGTATGTAGACCCCTTATCCGTCACAATATAAAGCGGAAAAAGTTTCTTTCTCTTTTTACCTGAAAATGTTCTTTCGAGAAGATCGAAAGCCGGGAAAATCGTTGAATTCCGAAGACAGAAATTACGATTACGAAACGAAGAAATCGGATCGACGGGAAACGATCCGTCCACAGTGCACGATAAGTCGTATCAGTGAACGTAAGAATTACAATAGAGAATTGGAGCGTAACTAGACTCCGCAATTGAACGCACGAAACCTTACATTCGATTGTCTAGGGTAAATCGAATTATTTCCATTTCTTCGTTACATTTTCACTCTCGGCTGTACACGTTCCCATCGTTGAACAATTCCATCGTTGGAATTGTTATTTGTATTGTTATTTTATTTATTTATTTTATTTTAATTGTTATTTTAATTGTTAATTGTTATTGTTATTGTTATTTATTTAATCTTGTAGCTTGAATTAAACATAAAGTATGACTAACTTAAATTAATTATCGAAAACTATTGGGTTGGATGAAATTCTCGAAAGTTCGAGTCAAAATGACCCAGTCACCGTAGTCCGAAGCTCCTAGTTGAACGAAAATCAAAATTTCGTCAACATCTCTCTACTGAATTTTCATCCGTCAGGCGTCCGACTGGTGTCTCGTTGTTTTGCTTATAATGAAATTCCTTCGTTATTATAAACTCGTGTTCTGGCATGTGTGATTCGTTTCGCCGTGCAGCAAGTGTCTTGACACTTTCATGGCGACACTGAGTGTTACGTAAATTAGAGGCTCACCTTTTAAAACCGAGCGCACTCGTACCGTTGACGACGACGCACGTCATGCTGAGTGTCATCTACAAAGTTGCAGAAGTCGTATCGCCCCGTAACTGAAACAGGAATTGAATGATGTACAGTCATGTCCATAGTCATATATAATCGGACAAGATACGTGTAGACTGTGAAATGGAAAGTCAAAGCGTTAGCCTCAGAAAAACATTAACGTATTATTGCACAAGACAGTGACAGTCGAAAGTGAGTATACACTTTGAAAGTATAGGAATTATGCATATTTATTTCTCTCACTTTAAATTCTAATATTTCGCATAGATGCTCTATTACTTTGAGATCTGGTGACTATGGAGGAGAACTGAACTGATTGAAAGTGTTTTCCAATAAGCAATTTTTAACCACCTTCGGTGTATATTTTTGGTCACGATCATACTAAAAAACCCTTGAATGCACTTGCAGCTGAATTTGACTTTAAAATATTTAGTCATCCAAATTTGTCCTCGGTACTATGAATAAAAACCAACTGACTTACACCAGAGGTTGCCATGCTGCCCCAAACCATATTTTTTGAAAATCCAGCAATTGTAGCCACTTTTGCGCAACAAAGATTCCGCGAGGTTTATTTTTTCGAGTTTGAATGGAAATTTTCAAGCGCAAGTACAGAGACAGGTTTCAGTCGAGTTTCATTTTTATCCGCAAACAAATGGAAACACAGAAAGAAACAGAGTCTCGTGAAAAGTACAGACCTAGCTCTACTTCAAAACATGCAACTACTGTTAATAGTTCTCATTCACAAAAGTGTGACCAAATGTTCTATCCAAATCGATAAAAATGACATTTCATACGCAACGACTTGAAATAATCAAGTAATGTTCTCTATTATCGAAAAGAAAGGATAACAGAATCCAGTTACTTCACTCTTACATTGCTCGCCATTTTGTATCCTCGATTTATGTCACGAAAAGGTCACGCATAAACTCTTCCTCGATACATGCACGGTTTTACTTGAAGCTGTCAAAGAGAATCTCTACGAAAGATCGTTTTACGAAGAAAAAACTTTTTAATACCTTCCAGACGCCTATTAGTGTTTCCAATATGGCCACCGGCAATTGCACACCAGACAATAAAGAACGGAAGTCGTGTGGTCACCGCCCGATCTGCAAATTAACGCACAGCCAACGTCTCTTCTTCACCAAGAGAAAAAAACACACACACACACACGGATCTAGATAGAAGTGCGTGTAGTAATATTTAAATAATTTTTATTGAATATCATAGGTAATATGAATTAGCAAAGATCATACCCACAGCGGCGTTTTTTTTTTTAAATAAAGAACAATACTGTTCATAAAACACTGATCATATATACCTGTGCACATTTTGTATGGCCCTCACTCTATTCCTCTTCCTCTCTCAGTCTCACTCGTAATCTCTCTATTCGTCCTCTTCGTTTCGCGCGAGTTTACATTCATTCTTGTATATATCTATATATATCTCTCTCCCCACTTTTGTTTTTAAACATCAGCAACATCGTCTAATTAACACTTTATATGGTACTTAGAGAGCACGCGCATTCGTGTAACGTACACTCACACGCAAATAATCCACGCATATATCTGAACCACAGCTGCACACATACACACACATACACACACGCGTATGGACCTAGAGGTTACATCTATTAATGTGATTGTACCTAATAAGCATGAACTTTCGACGAGGTGCGCCCTCGGATCCGTCGCACGATTACAAATACATCCTGGAAACCATGGGTTCTCTACTTTCGTTAAGCTGCTTCAAATGAAATTTACAACCACGAGGAGCGTGTGCCCGTGGAATTTGTACCCGCGAGGAAGTTTTACCCTACGCCCAGAAGACTCCGTTCAGTGTATCCCCATACATCAATTTCCTCCTCCGTGTACCAGGGCGGCTTTGGCGACATGGAAAGAACAGGCTGATCGTCGGAGAGGCCATTGGCGATTCGGTGATCCGGGCGCAGATTTTACATGATCGATCGGTGGCAGTGGTATTCTACAGACCCTACAGAACAACGTCGCACTTACAAACTCCCTTAACGCATACACGTAGACGACGACTTCGTTGACAACGTATGTACAATAAAGAAATTCGTTCAGGCGTGAATAATATCGTAAAGGTAATCGCTAATATAAATATACTCTTGTCCCGGAGGAGGGGAGGGGTGGTTCCAATTGTGTCGAAGTATCCATCGCCAATCGCGGGGAAACTCCTAAATGCCAATCGTCGGTCGCTAGCAGACAAAGAAATAGCCAATAAAATGTTGTTGCGAACACGTTACGGGGCGTACTCTTCTCCACACCACAGTAAGCCAAAACCAAACGCTTCGTGCAAGGTGTACACACACGCGCGCGTTTTTTTTCTTTACACACACGCGAACTGAAGAGTATTTTCCCACAACTCTAAAGGGGTACTTACAGAGCGACCCTGGCGGGTACACGAATAGTACACACCTGGACGCGTCTACTTTCATTCAGGAAAAAGAACTCCTATTCAGGGATCCGAAGTCGGTTTGCTATACACATTGTTCTTAAGGTTCGATAGAAATCTTAAATATATCTTGGTAAGGCAGTGCCAGCACGGTGGTACATGTACGGTGGTGGAGGCGGCCCGGAGAAGTGCCTCTGATGCTGATGGGGGAGCGAGGACCTGTGCGAGCCCATGGTCCCACTGGATGGCGACACATGCTGGAGAAGATGGGAGGTCCCATCGCCAAGGTCCAGCTCCAGCTCCTGCTCCTCTATTAACTGCAAAGCTCCGAACGAGGCTGTCGCCATCGCCACATCCGGCATCACGCCTGACAACTGTCCGTCGCTACAGGAATTACTCTCTTGTTGCTGGAACAAATAGGAACAGGCGAAATGTATTTGGATTCGTCGAAATCTGCTGTTTAAGTCGACTGACATAGCTAAGTGGATGCCAGCAGTTTGCTACACGTTTGAGTTTTCGAAACTCGGAAGATCTGTGAAATTTCTCGCATTCTGTAACGAAGATTGTGGTTAATCTTTACCTTGCCTGATAAAAAATTAGTTACCTTTTTTATACCTACTGATAGTATTCAATGCGTGGAATCTAAAAATGCAAGTTTTAAGTTTATGTGTTTTTTAAACCAAGTGTTTTTAGCGTACATTACAGGTCAGTTTAACACCATATTTGACTTCTATCTATAATCTGATTGTGCGACAACCTGTATATCGCCCTGCTTGTTACCAGACATTACGACCAACACACCACCCTTTCCTTGTATCGTAACGTCTCCTACCGCTGAGAATTAATAAAAATAAACGTTAAAATTCTAACGTGGGTTTGCAACGAATGGTTTTCAAACTAAATGTCGCCGGGCGAACCTGTTAAATGCGAAAGGATCTCAGATGCAAAACAATCATATCGCCATGCAATCAGTTCCAACAGGAAAAGGATTTCTGCCGTTGACAACGCAAAATGAATGGAACCCCCACTCGTCCTTGCTTGGAAATTTTCGAATCAATTTACGTTCGTTGCGCTATCTCCACCATTATAGGGGGGCAGTCCAATTAACGGGCGACAAGGGTGTTTTTCCTTACCTCTGCGAGAAGCCTGCAGCTTTCACCCTCGGTGACTATGGCCGGAAGCTCGTGTCTGTGGGCGCAGGATGAGGCAGGCCGCGGGAACGTCATGTTCCTTCCGTAGCACAACGGCGGTGCCGTTCTCACGTTGATCCCGATTCCCGGCGAATCCATGTCCTCGATGTCCGTCAGTCTCTCGTTCTGCTCCTTGACGTTGTACGTGGCTGTGTTCTGCGCGTCAAAAAGAAAAAGAAATATTAATCAAACGATCTCACGGTAGAATTCACCCTGATAACAATGTTCAACACGTAAAATATCTCATACCCGTTAATAGGCGTTTCTGATAGATCTTTATGAGCTGAATACGAATCTGCAAACCGTTTTTTCCCAGCACGTCTAGTTTTTGAAGAAATCAATTTTATACAAAAATGCAAGTTTCCATTCTTTGGAGACGCGTTGTGCTTTTATAATAGCTATTCAGTTGCTTTTGACACGAAATAATTCTCTGGACTCTTCAGAACAAAATGATGTAAATTGTTATTATATTATTGACATCTAAATGTTTACATAATGATCAAGGTGAAAAGGACACCGAAACGCACGTTTTATTTAAATACTTAATAATAAGAGTGGAAAAAATTGTCACTTAAAGAACGTGGCAACTATCCCCGGTCTCTCCCCTATATCCCTTCGAAATCGCGGGTGTTTGGCGCGATTTCGTTCATGCTTAATCCGTATCGATGCTGAAAGATGGAGATACCATCAATGAGCGTCGAAAAGAGGGAGAATAGGGGTCAAAGTCAAACGGTAACGAAGCTCCCGCTCAGTTGTCACGGCTTCGCTGCACTAGGCAGCCGCGCGGTGCGAGTGCATTCGACTCACTTTGCCGATTGCGATTCTTCTGAAACGCGCCTTTGGACACGCGGTTGCAACAGGTATTTTCTCGTCAACACACACATATACGTTTCGTTTAACACGGCGGGATTCTTCCCGTGAAGGATCGTCTTTTCGACTGGGGGGAGGGAAGGAGGCAACAACTTCTTTTAGGTTCCATATTAGCTCGCTGCTAATTGTCTTTTTAACCTGGCAAATCTGTTTCGATCGAAAACGATCCTCAGCTGGGCAGTGACGAATCTTGACTGTGTCAGGTATGAATACGTCCTAATGTTATAATTTCCAATTTGAATATTCCGTCGTTGCGCATGAAATGGAACGAATTTACCGATTGATAGACACTACCAGAAGTATCCGGACACTTATATGATGATGCAGATCTGCGAAATATTCTACGGATTTTTATAAATATTTTTTATACGAAATGTCTGTATTAATTTTTATAACAAATAATGTCGATACAAGTACTATGACCAAAGTTGAATGAAAAGGTGTACGTAAAATATGCATACACACAAGGGACAAGTTTTAGCTTCCTTTTTCTAACTTTTGTTGTATTTTTATGTATTTAGACAAGGACCAGATATGTAAAAGAAAGAAGCATTTCAATAAGACGATGCAGCCGTTTGGTTAGAATTAATTTAAGTTTGATGAGAGACTGCGATCTCGAGTTCTGAAGTAGAGTTAACGATCAGAGATCCTGGTACTGTTGTAAAATTAACCAAACAGAGCTATTCAGCTCGGTAAACAGCAGCAGAAATGATAGTCTTATTTATTGAAGAATAGTATTATTCTAATGTCGACAGTGTATTTGTATCCGGAATTGACTTTATCTTTTTAAATTAAGCTTACTCAGAATCATATTTCTGCTAAAATTGTACGTAAATACATACATTCATTAGTAACTGTATACATTTACTAAAATGTATTTTTCCTTGAAATACTTATCTTGTCTTATCTTATCTTGATCCCTGTATATTTACTAACAGTTTCACAATGTTGAAGTAACGATTTAAAGATCTGGGCGTTAAAGGGTTAAGTCCATTACTTTGAGTGTTTCTTTCATTAATTTTTATTTCGAAAATGGCAAAAAAGTGAATATGACTTGCAAAAAGTTGAATTTTTAGTGGAAGAACTGTGTAATAACTCAACCCAACCTCCCTGGATCTGTGTCCATTAAGAAGTTTCACTCTCGAGGGTAGCGTGTTTCAGGTGAACGCATAGCACAACTGCACTGGCGTTAGGTCGACAGGTAGAGAGCACAACAGACCGTATCGTTCCCCGTTCATTGACGCAACCAGATCGCCGGTTCGATCGCGTAACCGTGTGTACGTCCGCGATCTACGTAATTGCGAAATTAACGAGAATAGGTGGCCGATCGACTGGAAAACTACCGGCGATCTACGTGGCTGCCGGACAGATTTCCGCATTTCGGTCGGTGACAATGCGACATCTTTATCTCACGCGCAGCAGCGATGTTCTATCATGCAAATGACAGTGTCAAGGCGAATGATAGGCAAAATCTTGACTTACGAGCTGTTTACTTGTTTACCGTAGAACCGTCGTGAAGAGCAACCAGACAGATTTTTCTTTCCTGGTAGCAGTACTACTCATAATAGAAGCAATATAAATATATCAGTAATAATCGATAAAAATTATCGGCATATTTTACCAATCAAAATTATATATATATAAGAATAAATGCTTCACGAGTAACAAATTCGTATTATAGTTTCTATGTTACAGATACTAAAATAATGTTATTCTTGCAATATTCATAATATTGATAAGGTAACAGTAAGGTATAATGAAATATAACAATGATAAATGTAATTTACACCGATTAAAATTTTTTCGCGAGCTATCACGGGACTAACATTATTTGATGTCCTAATCTCTAAACAAAATACTTGTGTATGTTCAAATATATGGTATTTAGAGTCAGACGAGAGCAACAGTGAAATAGTACTCTTTCGTGTGACCTAGTTTTCACAGGAGCAAATATTTAATGTTTGATAGCGAATATCTTCCTCAAATATTAATGAATAGCGTAGATTTTATGGCTTTAATTCAAACGCAGCGCAAACATAAGATTAACAGAATTGTACATTGGCAACGGTATGAGCCTAATTTTGGATCACTAAATTCTATCCAAACTGAGTTTTTATAATTCTTGAGGTAATATTTTTAATATCTCGTAATGTCAAGGAAATAGTACACTGTCCTTGTTTTATTTAAAAATATATGACGTATCAATATTTCGATTGAATTTTAAGTTTCGTGTAGATAAATAAGTCGATAAATAATCATTTTTTATTTCCAATAATATTAAATATAACGTTGATTAATGTTTAAATTGAACTTCAAGTACCTTGCTCATACATGAGTCACTAAATTCAATACAGTCCTCTGTGCGATTAAGATTAAACCGAGTTGAAGGAAACGCACACACATGACTGTTGTAGATGTCCGTAAAAATGTGATCTTAAATATCGCCTTAATACCCCGGTATATTGGGTCTTTGGTTCATTTAAAATTCTACCGAGGTCAGCAAATTGACCTTACATGTTAAAGGTAGCAGCAAATGAATTCTACCAGTGGCCACGGTCTGATGTTGATTTCCATTAAAATTCCTCTCGAGTCCAAAAACTATCATCAAACATCGAAGGAAACGAGGACATTGCATTTAGTGGCTCCACCGAGGTCAGACAAAGTGTCACCAAACAAAACTGTGAATTTACAACTGACTGTAGCACTTCGTATAAAAAAAAAATAATTAATTAGAATTCTGATGTTAAGATACTTTCATATCGTTAACAGTATCGAACAAGAGCGAACAGTTTCCGTCAGAACTTTACAGAGATCGGAAAATTGTCTGTAAACAAAAAGTTCTATTACGATAATTATACTGAATTTAAAATTCTACCTAGGCCAAAAGACCATCGGGACAAGTAAATGAATAACTATAGATAAAAATTGTACTAAATTCGATCGAGACACTCCTAAAAAAAAATGTTAAATTGAAATATATATCTTCACTTTAATTTAGGGCTTTCCTGAAGTCGGAAGATTATCATGAGATAGTTTCTATTATAGATACTTGGAAACTGTTCAAATATGGTTTTCTGTAATTTTTCTAATTTTTTATTCAACGACTGTGACCTCTCTCCTTGTAAGTTTTTTTTTTCAAATAATTGGATACTTCAATTTGAAAATCTGACTTTAAATTCATAATCTCAAACCAAAAATGCCCCCAGACACAGATCGATAGAGAAATGAATTACAAAGAATTAAAAAAAAAAATTGTCGAGTTCACTAAAAAATGACGACCTGTAGTCCGATTGGAAAACATGTCATTATATACCACTGTGCGACTGGGGGACAGAAACGTCTAAACGCAGAAAACCGTCCAGGGATTCGTAGCGGCCCAGAGTCGGTGGAACAGATGAATATCAATCCGACCTCGCAAAAAGTGTCCGTTACGATTCTAGGTTTCCAATACTTTCTCCTGGCCTAATGTCTTGGTAATTGGCGAATTGCACCGGGGGAAAGGAAGCCAGTGTGTCGGTTTTTGCGCGCTCGTGTGCGTGTGTACGTGTATAGTCAGCTGCCCCGAAAGAAACGGGCTGCATTTTGTCGATTATATTTTGCTCCCGGTTGTGTGTTTCGTCACGGACATTTCACTTCTATTAAATTGGTGCATATCAAATCTCCCCTGTTATCTTGGGTCTCCGAATCCCAGACCCAACACGCTGTACGCGATAGTGTTTCTTTTCTTTTCGATTTTCTTTCAAACTTCTTTTTCGATTACATATCGCACCTTTGCGATTCGACGTTGGATGATTGTGTTTTTTTTTTTTCGTTTAATCCGTCTCCCCCTCAGAAACACGATCGACAGAAAACGAGTCCGCGGGTCAAGCAGAATTCCCCGCCATGTGCGCGACACTTATCGCGTTACGTTAGATTCCCTCGATGCGCTACGCAAACTATAAATAGAGTCCGCTTCGAAGCGGCCTTAATGGCGTCGAAACGACGGCATGTTTAACAGTGTTTTTTCAACAATCGTCGCGACCACGACACATTTTGCAGTTCGGTCCCCGTGGAGATCGGATCCATCGAGAGGCTAACACGACACGAGGGAACGTTCGGGTGACATCCAGAGAGAGAGGGAGACAGGGAGAAAAAAGGTACTTTTGTCGACAGGTGACCGTTTTCGTCGTGGTCTAATTGGTCCGGCCTACTGATTGACGATCCGAAAATTTGAATTGGTTATGTTATAACCTTGTTCTATTTCTGTTTTGTCTGAATTTTGTATTCCACTGTCACAACAACTTAGTGGAGAATTTTGAAAGCTCCTGCGGTGCTCCAGAGACACTACCGTAGAACTGTCAATATTAGAATGTTACTGTTTCTTTTTTTATAAGGAATATCATTTCTGCTCTTGTTTACCGAATTTGAATAATTTTCTTTGGGTAATTTCACAATAATATCGGAGGTTCTCTTATCATTAATTCTTCTTCAGAGCTCGAGCTCATAGTCGACTGCACTGTTATAACTCAAACGAATTCTAACCAAGTCTGCCATCCTTCTGTTTGTGTTTCACACAAGTAATGTATTCGTCTAAATGCATAGACGTACAACAGAAATTAGAAAAAGGCGACTAAACTAACTTGTTCCTCTCGTACATATTCTACGTAGGTGTACACCTTTTCATTCGACTTAATAAATATTGATAAATACCACTTATATTCGTCTGTTAGAAGTTAGTAAATTCACTTTTGTGCAAGATAGAAAATATTACAAGTGTAAGAAATTTTTGTAAACGTTCGTAGAATATTACAGAGGTTTACATCATCGTGTAAGTGTCCTCTGGATACTTCTGGACGGTAATTTACGTTCAATTGACAGTGAGTGGTGTACTATTTCCATGACAATAAACGAATGATAACTAATTTAGTGGATTATTAAAAGTCTTACAAAATAGTTGTTGTCGGATTATTCATCTCTGAGACGAGTGCTCTGTGGTTAACCCTTTCATTTATGTCTTCCCGTAATTCAATGTTAAATTCGGTCGAGAATTCATTTCACAGAGTATTAATTATAATGATTGCCTGAACAGTGCAGAAAGGTTAAGCGGAAAAATCGGTTCGATTCGATGACGTTGACACTTCATCGCGATCGACCAACAGCGTGTGTCACATACATATGTGTGCCGCTCTAATTTCTCATGGGAGATCGTAGTCACGTATGACAG